GTACCAATAAAAGAGAGGCACGGAGAGGCTTCAGGGTCTTTTGCCTGCCATCTCACCTGAAGAAGCATGTTGTCCGTGTGTTTCCTAACCTAAAGCAAGGCCCGTTGGTTTAGGCCAACGTACATCACCAGTCCATTCCTCTGGAGAGGAATAAGTTCATCCTGCAGGCGCAGGACCCCGGGATTTTGCAATCCCACAGCTTCCTGCTACCTTCCAGGTTGGAGTCACTACTGGCCTGCAAGGCCAACTTCCCTGGGCTGGTTGGGGCAAAAATTAGCTTTTTCCTAGCCCTCGTGGAGGTTTAGGGCTCAGTAATTCCACCTCACCTGATACTTCCACCAGTATAAAGGAGAGCTGGGAATGGCAAGGAGGGCCCCCACTCTCTGCTGGAGAACCCTTTAACAGATGTTGCTGCAAGGGGCTGAGCCGTACCCATTTCCCTGGAAGTAAAAAACATGGTCCTGAGTGGTATCACTTGATCAGCCAGCCACATGACTGTCAGCTGAGGATAGCTGGAGGATAGCTGGAGGATAATAGCCAGCTGGCTTGCCTATTGCCAGAACCCTTGAGTATCCAGTCTATTTCTAGAGCCTCCAGCCACTTCTACTCCCAACCCCAGACCTGCTAGGACCTCTTTCCAAGCAGGTATGTGCCACTCATGTTCTCAGACACTGAGCTCTTCCTGGATAATCTTGGTTTCCTGCTGCTCCAGAACAAATGCAATGGTTATAGGTTGACAAGCTGCAGGAAATATTTCCATCCGGTCATCCTGCAGGTTGACTTTCAGCTAATCTCCAACTCTGCACACTCTGGGATGCAGACAGCAGGAATCCCCTTGAGGTAAACATGGCAAGGCTGGCACAACAAAACAAGGCCCTGACAGCTTGAATGGCAGAAGCAGGCGTCACTCACAGCATTTAAAGCACCTTTGCTTTAAAAAGTGGTTTGCTGCAGTTGCCTTGATTCAGCAATACACGTCTCTTTAGGAGAAAACGACTTACGTTCCAGGGCGGAGGCTGTGCTGCTGTCCTTAGATCAGGGCTTTTCAACCTTTTCACCCACTGTACCACTTTTAGGATACGGCAACATCTGAGTACCACCAGTTGCCTAGCAAGGTGTCAAAAACTTGATGACCAAAAAACAAAAAAGAGAAAAAAGTGATAAAGTACAGGTAATCCTCGACTTACAACAGTTCGCTTAGTGACTGTTCGAAGTTACAATGGCACTGAAAAAAGTGCCCCCCAAGCCACAGCCGATCAAGACACCTGCCTGCCCACCCGCGCTCTTCCTCTTGTCCGAGGTTTTCATTGTTGTGAGCATTTCTGTTGAGGATTGGCAGCGGGGGTGGGGTGGGGGGTGTCTGGTTTTTATTCCCCCCCCCTGTCTGCTGGGTGGTTGCAGCAGGTTTTGATCACTTCACATGACCCTGGGACACTGTGACCGTCATAAATACGAATCAGTTGCCACGCATCTGAATATAAATCACAAGACCTGGAGATGCTGCAACATTCCAGCTGATTGGTGCTTCTTCAGGGCTCAGCAGAAGCATCAGGATCAGTGCCGAGCTCCAGGTGGAGCCTGGCACTGATCCTGGT